GTACACACATGCACAGCTCAGGTACACACGTGCACACCTGCACACACGTGTGGATCACACATGTGCAGGACTGGGGCCCATCCACACCCCTGTGCACAGCTCAGGTACACACGTGCACACCTGCACACACGTGTGGATCACACATGTGCAGGACTGGGGCCCATCCACACCCCTGTGCACAGCTCAGGTGGTCACACACGTGGTGAATGAGGTCAACCTGTGCACATACATGTGTGTGGAGCAGGTGCACACACGCACAGCTCAGGTACACACGTGCACACCTGCACACACATGTGTGGATCATACATGTGCAGGGCTGGGGCGCAACACCCCCCTGTGCCCAGGTCAGGTACACACGTGCACACCTGCACACACGTGTGGATCATACATGTGCAGGGCTGGGGCCCAACACCCCCCTGTGCCCAGGTCAGGTACACACGTGCACACACACACACAGTCATACCCCTGCACACCACACGTGTGCACATACCTGCCCCCCAGACCCCCCCCATTCCCACCCCAGTGCCCCCAGCCCTCCTCCCCTCCCGGGGAGTTTGGGGGCCCCTCACTGCAGGGGTTTGGGGGAGGGGGTTTGGGGGCCCCTCACTGTGGGGATCTGGGGGGGGCGTTTTGGGGACCTCTCAGTGCAGGAGGTTGAGGGGAGGTTTGGTGGGAGACTTGGGGGTCCCTCACCACAGGGGTTTGGGGGCTCCTCACTGTGAGGGTTTGGGGTGGGGAGGTTTGGGGATCCCTCACCATGGGAGTTTGGTTTGGGGGGCTCCTCCCCATGGGGGTTTGGGGTGGGGGGTTTGGTTTTGGGGTTGTTTTGGGGGTGTCTCCCCGTGGGGGTTTGGTGCAGGGTGGCTCTGGGGGTCCCTCACCGTGGGCCCGGCGGGCTGCAGCTGCAGGATGACGGCCGAGGCGTGCTGGAACTTGCGGGGGGGGGCGGCGTGGCAGCTGCCGGGGTGCCCGTTGGGGGGGCCCCCCTCGCCCCCCGCTCCCTGCAGGACCCCCGCCTTGGGCTGGGGGGCGGGGCCGGGGCTGGCAGGGGGCAGGGGCTGCAGCTGGGGGGCACCGGGGGGGGCCGGGGGGGGCTGCCCGCGGGGGCCCAGCGGCTGCTGCTGCTGCTGGATCACGAACTGCTGCTGCTGCTGCTGGGGCTGCACCGGCTTCGGGGGCTGCTGCAGGAACTGGGGGGGCTGCAGCGGGGCGTAGGCTGCGGGGACAGCAGGGGGACAGGGACCCCCCCTTTGTCACTGCCACCTCAGCCCCAAGGGACCCCCCCCAGGATCCTCCCCCCAAGGTGCTGCTCGCTCTGGTGCCCACGGACACATCCTGTGCCAGCACCTGCCGCTGCTGCAGGATGGGGGGCTCGGGCTGCCCCGGGGTGGGGGGGCCACATTTTGGGAGCCCTGCCAGTACAGCACCCCCCGGCTCCAGCACCCCATGGCCCACACCCTCACTGCCCCAGCCCCCCGCACCCCTCTGCAGGGGCTCACCCTGGGATCCTGTGGGTGCTGAAACCCAGACCCTGCACCCCACAGGACCCCAGGATCCCATGGGTGCTGA